CGCCGCCGATCTCGCCGCCCTAGCACGCCTCCTCGCCGAACCCCGCCGCCTCCGACCGCGGGCGACCCTGCTGCCCCTCAGGCACCGTCCGTCGCGCCGCCCCGCTCCAGCGGCGCCGCCGCCGCTCGCCTCGCCCCGGGCACCGCCGCCGGCCGCCATGGGGAGGGTCGAGCTCCTCCAGCCGCTAGCCCTCCTCCTCGCGCCGTTCTTCGCCGGGATCCGGCCGGATCCGGTGCGATCCGGCCCGGATCTGCCTCGCGCGCCCGTCCCCGTCCCCTTCGCCGACCACTCCGCCGGAGGCCTCGCCGGAAGCCTCGTCGGAGTCTCCTCCACCCTCGCCGGAGTCGGGGTGGACCAGATCCACCAGGCCCGCCATCCAAACGCCGGCCCCTTCCCCGGTTCACTCCGTCCCGGGTCCTCCCCGTCCATGTTTTTGCGAGGTGAAAATCGGCTAAGTCCCGAGATCTGTAACATTTTCAGGCCCTGTTCAACATGCCATATCTCCTCATCCGTAGATCCGTTTTGCATGTATAATATATCAAAATGTTCATTGTGAGGTGGTCTACATCTCATTACATTGTGCCATGTTCATTTGAGTCCATCTTGATTCCCTAAGCATTGTTGCAAGAGTGCTATATGATGTTAACTGCTGTCTGTTAACAGAACTTGATGATTTGTCTTTTTCATTGCATTTTGTGTGTGCATCCTATGAGCATGAGCTCTACATGTGTTTTGTACTACATAATGCCATCTTTACAGGGGTGCTTGTATTGTATTTTTGTGAGTCTTTTACTGAGTGCATCGACCTTGTGAAGTAGGGTACTTGTTGTTGCTGTTTTGCTAGTCTGAATCTGTTACATCATGATGCTATGTAAACCTGCTTCTACAAGTCATTCTATGCATAATCTGGAGATGTTCACTAAGGATTTTTGTTATACATGTCATGCTCTATCCATCCGATCCCCTGGTTGCAATTATAGCCTGCTGTAGCTTGTTGTTATCTTGCTCCAAAATTTCTAAATAATGTTGCTGTCAGCCTGTTAACATTAAGTCCAGTTTTGCCATGAGCTTTGTTAGTGATCCATGCACCCTATGAACTTGTTCTTGCCATGCATAGCTTCATAAACATGTCTTCTTACTGTTGGTTGCCTTGTCATGCCATGTTTTGCTCTGTGGTGACTGGTACAAGCTCACCAACATGCCTATTTATCGTTGTTCCTGCCATGTTTGAATCTGTCATATCATTTGCCATGTTTACATGGGGGCCATCATATCTTATGATCCTTTTTGGCTCATGATCAGTAAGGGACTTTTGTTCTATGCATTTAGTAGTATCATGCCATGCCTTAAGTTTTTATGATAAGTTCCTGTAGCATGTTGTTTGATAGCTCTAAACATTGCAACCTGATGTTATTTCTGCTAAGTCTGAAACTGTTATTATTTGCAATCTTGCCATGTCCTTTTGAGCATGTTCTAGTGATTTCTAGAGATACCTCAGTGTTCATGTTTTGTCATGCTTTACGTGTACATCATGTCCATGCCTCTTGTTTTCTTGTTGAGGTGCTATAGCATGTTTTTTTGATGCTTGCTAGATACCTAGTTGCTGTTTTGGACAGCTTGTCTTTTAATCTTGTATAGAGTGTATGTGTTGAACCGTTGCTCAGTTTTGAGTGTGCTCTATATGAAACTTGCTTGATTTTGCATGTAGTTTCATATTATCATGTTGCATCCTTTTTTTGAGGTGTTTTCTTGATGTTTGGATGCATTTAGCATCAATGCCATGTTTAACTTGTTTTGCTCTTATCTTCTAGGCCGTAGCTTCGAACTAAATGAACTTTATATGTAACTTCACTAGAATATCGTGTAGATCATCTTGGTGCATCTTAACTTGCTGTTTAACAACTTGAACATAAGGTTTATTCAGATCTGGACCAATTTCGAAATTTGCATATGAGGACTTACCGGATTTATTATATGTTGTTTCCGGCCTCATTTAAACTTGCCTTGAAGTGTTGTTCTTGTATGCATCATCTCTTGCCATGAGTAGCTTCATGTAATCTTATATTGCATCATACTTGGTTGAGCATCATGCCATGTCTATGTGTGGTGTGTTTACCATGTTGTGTGCTTCTTCTCGATAGTTCCCATTTTCGTTGCGATCGTGAGGATTCGTTCGTCTACGCTTGATTCATCTTTGTGGCTTCATATTCTTCATGGATTCATTCTTCTTCCTTGCGGGATTTCAGGCAAGATGACCGTGACCTTGGATGTCATTACTATCATTGCTATGCTAGTTGCTTCGTTCTATTGCTTTGCTGCGCTACCTATCACTTGTTCTTCAAGCCTCCCAATTTGCCATGTCAGCCTCTAACCTTTTTTCACCCTTCCTAGCAAGTCGTTGTTTGGCTATGTTACCGCTTTGCTCAGCCCCTCTTATAGCGTTGTTAGTTGCAGGTGAAGTTGAAGATTGCTCCATGGTGGACAGGATTATGTTGGGATATCACAGTATCTCTTATTTAATTAATGCATCTATATACTTGGTAAAGGGTGGAAGGTTTGGCCTTATGCCTGGTGTTTTGTTCCACTCTTGCCGCCCTAGTTTCCGTCATACCGGTGTTATGTTCCCGGATTTTGCGTTCCTTACGCGGTTGGGTGATTTATGGGACCCCCTTGACAGTTCACTTTGAATAAAACTCCTCCAGCAAGGCCCAACGTTGGTTTTACCATTTGCCTCACCAC